GGTGTGTGGTGTGTGTGTGTGTGTGTGTGTGTGTGTGTGTGTGTGTGTGTGTGTGTGTGTGTGTGTGTTTTTTTGATGCAAATCTGAACGGTAGTGATGGAAAAATTAAGCTTTGCAAAGCACCGAGGCTTTCCCCTCAACTGTATTGTAAAAGGTTCGTTACTCGAAGCTTTTCAAGACGGTGCACACTAATGACATCTTGTGGTCAAAAGGTGGAAAAAGCTGTTTTTGCGTCCCAGACGACCCAGCCATTTTTGGACTGTTTCAGATAATAAATTAGTTTGTGCTCTGAAAACCTGTATAAAGCAAAGAAAATAAAAATATGAAGTCTATATACATAAGTCTTCATGTATATCAGTCATTGTATTACACAATATGAATAAATGAGTGTGAATACATTTGTGGAAAAATAGGCAAGGCTGTAGTAGGCATATATAGGCTATGATCAAAATAACCGAAGATTATCATAGAATGGTCAGTTAAAGTGTCTGTGAACCAGGAATTGCTTGAGGTATTCGGCCAATCACAACGCACTAGATAGCTGGCCAATCAGAGCACACCTCGCTTTTCAGACCGATGATCTTTGTAAAAATCGACGCGCTTCAGAAGGCAGGGCATAAAGGATAAACAATAATGTACAGTATGTGGAAAATAATGTGTTTTTTTTACTTTAAACCGCATAAACACATTTCATTACACCAAATACACAAAATAATGTTATTTTTAGCAGCATCATATGACCCCTTTAATACAAAATGAGCATGCACAAAACTACACATGCAAATATTTATTCGCATTGTGATTTATTTTTTTCAAAGACGTGAGTGACATTTGAAACTGCGCAAGTGGTTCGCGTTATTTGAATCAGAATACGAAGCAGTCACGTGGTTGTGTGCGAAAACGAAGCTTCGGACGTCACAGATCACGTGGTTTTGGCAAACTGAATCAAGCTCCGGTGCAGTGCTTCACTGTGAGATGTTTCGTTTTTTTGATACAAGCTTCGAAGCCTCGGTGTCGAACGTCACATCACTACTGAACGGATCAGCCTCTTGTATTTTGTCAGAAGTGATGATTAACAGCTGAATTCAGCGTTCATTATCACCATCATCTTTCACTGAATTATTAATTCAATTCCTGTTTATTTGTATAGTGCTTTTCACAAAGTATGTTGCTTGAAAACAGCTTCACAGAAATGTTTGTTTCAATGTTTTTGTGCCCTAATAAACAATAATCAAGCATTAAATCCAGAAATTTCCTTTAATTGGCCAGAAAGTAGCGTTTTCCACATTTTTACCTCAGTCTGATGTTAAATTTGATGCCTGATCTGTTTGTTTATTATTTATCCATTATATGTATTTGACAGTTTGAACCTTACTGTGTAGTCTTAGGGTTTGAATTATTGAGTTTTCGCTATTTTTACCATTTTTTTCCCCCATGACCATTACATTTTCAAACAAAGCAACAAGTGATTATGTTTTGAACAGTCACATTTGTGGTGTTTATTTTATTGATGCATGTTTGATTTAATTTTCTTTCATCTGTTTGTGATATTTTGTCTGGTTTGGTTCACTCTGTGGTTTGTGTTTGAGTGTTGTCTGGTGTTTGTCTCCCTCTAGTGGTCATGTTGAGTGTTTGCGCTCTGCTGCTGCTGGCGGCTCTCGGCTCAGACTCGGACGCACAGAGACCCCAACACGACTCCAACCTGGAGATCTGTATCCTCCTCAGAAACGTGGTGTGTGCGTGTGTGTGAGAGCGTGTGTGTGTCGTTCTCCTGAACGTCTCCTCAGATAAGCATCTGTTCCAGAGCAAGAGGAAGGATCAGCTGAACGCACTGAAGAACCTGGTGGAGCTCAACGACATCAACCAGCAGTACAAGATCATCGACATCATGCTGAAGGGCCTCTTTAAGGTGTGTGTGTATGAGAGATGAGTGTGATGCAGCTGATCTGACTGAGTCTGATCTGTGTGTGTGTTCAGGTGCTGGAGGACTCCAGAGCCGTTCTTATAGCCGCTAACATGCAGCCGGATGATCCGTTCCCACTCGACGACAAAATTAAAGAAGGTGAGAGACTCTGGCTTTATCACCATTCATTTCAGACATCTGAGAGAGTGTGTTTGTGTCTGATGTGTGTATGCTCAAAACTATGGAAGCACCATACTGCCACATGCTGAATCATAATTCTAACATTTTAAGATAAAAAATCATAATGACATAAAAAGTTGAAATCTCGAGTTAAAACATCTTAATTATCACACAAGATGTTTTGTCAGTTTTTTTTAAATATATTTTTTAATAAATTGAGTATGCCATATTTTTACTTACTATGTCATAATTTTCCACTTTTCTTCATAAGTATGATATCAATTCTGACTTTAATCTCAGAATTGTCTTTTTGTCATAATTTGTACTTTTTTTAATTTTAAACTTTTAACATTTAAACATTTAAATTGCCAAATTTTAAGGTAAAGTCTTAAATCTCACTTTAGAAGTTGAATTCATGAGATGAACAGTCACAATTGACTTTTCTCATAATCTCACTTTTTTTTCACATGTCCTAATTTCAATTTTTACCACATAATTATGTTTTATCTCATAAGTATAACTTAGTATGCCATCATTTTAAATCTCATAAATTCATCTTTTTATATCATGTTTCAACTTTCTTTATAATTTCAACTTTAAAATGTCATATTTTGAATTCATAAATGATAAATCATAATGATTAAATTAAGATAAAAGGTCCTAACTTTTCACTCAAGTCAATATCATGAGATCAATACAATAATTTTTACTTTGACATAATTTTGACTTTATATATGAAAATTTCAAAACTTTTCCACGTAATTGATGTTTTTTCTAATAACTGTAACTTTTTTTCATTCTTTTTATTTCAATTTTTCAATTTGTCATGTCACAATTAATTTTTTTCATATAATTTTAACTAAATCATGATAAATTATAATTATATAAAATGTAGTATAAGTCATAATTATAACAAATCAAAATCGTGAGTTGCAAATACATTTTTTGACTATTAACTTTCTCAAAATGTTCCACATAATTATGAAGTTTTATCACATAACTGTAACTTTGTTATAATTTTGACTTTCTCATGAGTATGACTTTGTCATAATTTCAATTTTTTTCTTATAATTTTGACTTGTAATTTAATTTCTTTTGTTTCATAATTTTGATTTGTCATAATTAGAATTTTTAATCTCACAATTTCAACTTCTTGTGTCATAATTTAGACATTTTATCTCATAATTGTGACTTTTAAATATCATAATTATGGTTTACCAAAGCTTGATTGAGTTTTAATTGGCATAAATAGGCTTCCATATAAAACACTCTCAGACAATTTTTAGTCAATTCACGTTCATTTCTATAGCACTTTATACAGTACAGACACTTCACAGCAGCTTTAGAGAAACAAAACCACATCTCACTCACAAACGTCTTGAATTTCAGCAATCATTTGTGTCTACAGGAGATAATCTGGTGTATTTTTTCAGTGAGCTCATGCGGTAGTCTCAGTCACAGCGATAGTCAGAGGGTTTAATCAGTTGAATCTGTCTGTCTCTAGCGTACTCTCACGTGGTGGAGAACACGGCGTTCTTCGGAGATGTGGCTCTGCGTTTCCCGCGCATCGTCCATCACTACTACGATCGTAACGCGGACTGGAGTCGTCTGCTGCGCTGGGGTCTACGCTTCTGCAACCAGACGGGCGTCTTCAGTGGAGGAGCCCATCAACACGTGCTCATGCTGGTCAGACTGAGGCATCATGGGATTAACATGACAGGAAGTACACTGAAACATGAGCTTTAACGCTGTGTGCCTTTTCTTCAGATGTCACAGGAGCTGGGAATCACAGGGAAATCTTTAGACTTCGTCAATCCGTATCGCACCGAACGAGACGACGTGAGTCACACACACATTACATACAGTATATACAGAGAGAGATGTCTATTACTATAGAATCAGTGTTTCTCATGTCCACTGCATTGTTATTAATAAAATTAGAGATAGACTAATATGTTTTACAGTTGCCTTAAAAAAGTAAATGTAAATAAAATGTTATCCTGTTTTGGTTCTGTATAATTTTACATAATATAACCAGGGTTATTATTATAATTAACTGAGACTAAAACCAAAACTAATTATGTTACTTGAAATTAACATTAACTGAAAAGAAAATGTATAAAGAACTTGAATTTATTTAATTTCAGGCATCATTTCTCATTTTTATTTAGTTTAATGTATTAAAATAACTAAAAAAAAATAAAAAAATAAAACCTGTATAGACTTATTAAAAAAATTATAGAAATGGCAAAAACAAATTTAAAATTAAAATGAACAAAATATTCAAATGAATTAAAAACTAAAATACTAATTGAATAAAAACTCATTCAAGCTATTAATAAAAACTATAGTAATATATAAATTATAGTAAAATTACACTGTGTACAAGAGTTCATTAATGGCAAATAAGTCAGTCATACTCAATTTAATTTCAGCAATTTTCTTTTTAAAAAATATTCTAAAAATTAAAAAAAAAATTCGAAAATGTACAATCTGAACAAACATTTAAAACATTTTAAATCAATATAAAATTTATTTAAATTTTTTCGCCCCCCCAAAGGCCCCCCTGCCCCCCTTGAAGGTCAAGTTAATTTTATTTAATTGTATTTTCTCTATAGCGCCAGATCACAACAGAAGTCATTTAAAGTTACCTTTCCTATAGAACAGGTCTATACCTTGTTCTTTTATTAAACAAACTAAATAGCCTTATGTTATTTATCTTATTTACACAACGGCATGTCATTTCTGTCTCTACGTTACATGGTCACGCTCTCTGTTATCGCGCACAGCGGAGTTCCGCCCCGATGCGTACACACAAGTGAGCACGTGTCAATGAATGGCGCAGACGCGCGGTTTTGTTTACCACTCGTACTGAAGCGCGCGTGACGCTCGGTTATATTAACGTCTGCCGTCTCACTAATGAGGACATAAATACATCAACAACATCTCCAGAACTGCTCTGAGAGTCACTTCATGAGCATTTGACCGTTTCATTTGAGTAAAACTATCACCATATCATATACACAGAAATGTAACTGTATTCACGGCAACCCATCAAAATAAAAGTTTGGTTTAACTTGAAGACATTGTGGCAGAAATATATTATTATTGTTCAGTAGAATGTACGTAATAGGCTGCTACTACTGCTAAAATTATTAAAACCTTATTTTTAAGGCATAATCATACAATATTTCTTCAGTGTTTTAATTGTAATATTAAATCCCCTTTATTTTCCAAAAACAAAATTTGTTTAATTTTCATTACTTAAAAGATCAATTAAATGACTGTTTTATGCCTTAAAAAAATGTAAATACACAACACAGAATTTCTGAGCAAAAAATCATAAGGCTATTGTAAGAATAAATGAAACTTGTTTTTATGCTTTCAAAGAATTAGACGTGCTAACTAATACGCTCACTGCACAGAACAGACGCCGAGAGAGGCGACACTTCTCCGGGAAAGTCAGACCTTGCGCTCGCGGGACAGCACTGGCGAAATCTTCCAACTGAACCATAGCTAAGGTTTATCCAAAAACAGTGTCGCGTTCCGAATGTTTTTTAACGACATACCGGTACTGCGGTATTTTAAAAATTCATATCATAACAAAAATAAACACCGGTATTCGGTATGAACCGGTATACCACCCATTAAACAAACTAAATAGCCTTATGTTATTTATCTTATTTACACAACGGCATGTCATTTCTGTCTCTACGTTACATGGTCACGCTCTCTGTTATCGCGCACAGCGGAGTTCCGCCCCGATGCGTACACACAAGTGAGCACGCTCCCACTCCCACTAGTATTTGTAAATATTAAGCCGCAAAACGATTCATATTTAAATATGAATTCTGCGTGTCTCTGTGTTAATGAATGGCGCAGACGCGCGGTTTTGTTTACCACTCGTACTGAAGCACGCGTGACGCTCGGTTATATTAACGTCTGCCGTCTCACTAATGAGGACATAAATACATCAACAACATCTCCAGAACTGCTCTGAGAGTCACTTCATGAGCATTTGACCGTTTCATTTGAGTAAAACTATCACCATATCATATACACAGAAATGTAACTGTATTCACGGCAACCCATCAAAATAAAAGTTTGGTTTAACTTGAAGACATTGTGGCAGAAATATATTATTATTGTTCAGTAGAATGTACGTAATAGGCTGCTACTACTGCTAAAATTATTAAAACCTTATTTTTAAGGCATAATCATACAATATTTCTTCAGTGTTTTAATTGTAATATTAAATCCCCTTTATTTTCCAAAAACAAAATTTGTTTAATTTTCATTACTTAAAAGATCAATTAAATGACTGTTTTATGCCTTAAAAAAATGTAAATACACAGAATTTCTGAGGGAAAAAAAATCATTAGGCTATTGTAAGAATAAATTAAACTTGTTTTTATGCTTTCAAATAATTAGACATATTAAAACACAGAATTTGGTAACAATAAAACATAAGGTTGGAAAAAATGATACGTGTCATAGGGCCCTAAACATGTAATTTTTGTTAAACTTTTAATAAATTTATGTTAAATTGTTTAAGATTCATGATTTTAATTAATTAGACATGTTTTTTGATTAATACAATTTTATTTAACCATTAAAAAGGAGTCCAGAAAAATTCAAACTGAAAAAAGCCGTAAACCTAGAGGAAACACTGGTAGGTAAAGCCAGTAGGAGGCAGTAGAGCTTCAGATGTTGATCAGAAATCACAGAAAGTTAAACTCCGTTTGTGTGTGATTTCAGTTTGCAAAGACTTCTACTTATTTTGTCATTATATTGCTCAATTAACCACAGGTTTATTTTGACACTTCTTTTGCTTTGATTTGCATAGTTTGTTGATGTAGACTTGTCGGTGTTTCAGGTGCTGCACACGGCCGAGGCCTTCCAGAAGATTCTCCGCGAGGAAGAGAAGAGGAGGAGGAGGAAGGAGGAGAAGAGGAAAGAGATCCGGAAAGGGCCGCGGATCTCTCGCTCTCGCACCGAGTTATAGATCTTACTGAAGATCAACCGTTTACACTCAATCAGGGAGCCCTGCTGAATCTGCCACGGGCCTCGACAACGTTTACAGGTTTCAGAACGAGACTGATTCGCAACACTTGAATCTGTTTTTAACTCTGTCTGATTTAGGAGGATCTTCATTAGATTCACTGCTGGTGATGTGAGTGTGTGTTTAGTGCTATTGGGTTAAGGGGAGGAGTCAGGGTGGTGGGAGGAGTCTATGGGGCGAGGTCACTATAGCGTTTACTGTAGAGTGGGTGGAGTCAGATTAATGGGAGAGTTCAAAGTAGTGGGTGTGGTCAAAGTGGGTCTGTGTCTTAGATGAAGGTATTTTGAACACTGATATTTCGATATTTAACACACTTGTTAAGTTTTGATAATATAAAATAAAAAATCGAAGTTCTCACATATGAAATTCAGTTGTTTAAATTCAATATAAATGTTTTATTTGGGGGTACTTTATAGTCTAATAAGAGAATTGTGGGTAATCAATGTCTTTCTGCTTTCTTTAGAAAATATTATTCATAAAAAATTGTATATTGTGTGTGTGCGTGAAGGAGAGACAGATGAACTGAGATCAGAGCTGTACAGCCGTGAGAGAAAGTCTTTAATGATGAATCTGAATCAAGCTGATATCAGTGTGAATGCGTTTCTGATTCGCTTCGTTTTCTCCAGCTGCTGAAGTAAGACGATCATCTGAAACAGCTTCAGTCTGAGACACTTTCATAGAGGCTTTATCAATCTGTTCATGTGACTGTTATTGAAATCTGTACAGCATATGTGGGAGATTATTATCGACAGAATGAATAAAGTTTATTCAACAAACTCTGTGTTTTTCTGCATACCTGGTGTATTATTTTATCGTGTTTTCACGTGGTTTGTATTCAGTGTTTTTAGCTAATGTGTTCATTTCGGTTTCAGTATTATACTGAATGTATCATCATTATTGCTCTATAAACTACAAATCAAGGACGTTTCAAAGCATACAAGAATCAGCCACAGGGGGGGGAAAGCATGAAAATGATGCACCTGCAACAGGGCGGGGCAAAACAAAAGTGAAACTAAAGGTGAACAACATCTGAGCAGCAGCTGGACTCCTGGTGAGTTTATATTCCTGCGAATTTTTAAACCACTGCAAATACATATATTACGATTGCTTTCCTGATGTGAATTGCATTTGTTTTCTAGGAAACATTTTCATGGACTTGTGATCAGTCAAATACTGTGAAGATGGCGACGGGGCCTGGTAAGAGGGTCTGCATCGGGGAGAGTTTAGAGCCTAAACTGTAGATGGCTGTGAATATTTGACTTACAGTCAAAGTCAAGACTTACAGTTTTGATTTGGCAGTTATTTGAATTGCAGTTAACGTCTGGATAAAGCTTGCACATGCAGTGAAGAGCTGACACGATAACAATTTTGTTACAGCCTTAAGGTGGATTGAAGGCATATTAACCCCACGCAATTATAAAGCAGACTTTCCCGTTTCAGTGAATGAAATCAAACTGAATCGCAAATCTATTTTAATGTAAAATGTAAAAATCGTTCCTTTTTAATGCTGCTTTACCTGAAGACGTAACCACAATTCCAGGTATTTTTGCAAACCCGTTAGACCGTTTAAATCAATAGAGACTAATACGCGAATCCGAATCCGTTTGGTTCTGCAAAGTCATTTATTATGTGGAGAAATTCACCTTTGCACCTTTTTCCTAAACGCGGAAGACTCGTACTGTAACGATGCTGATCGTTATGGTCTCTGTTTCTAGTCAAATTAACATTTCCGAGTCGATATTATAATGTTAAACATATGACATGGTCTTAGAATGACATGGCGCTATAGTTTCGTCGCTTTACAGCGTCGCCATGACCGTCTTTCTGCAGTAACTCACCTGTCATAGTTTAATGAGGGGGTCGATGACCTGAAAGCGGCTGGAGTTGCAAGTGAAAACACATGCGCACATATCTTACATACAGCTCCCGATCGGGGCGAAGTTCGGGGAGATTTTGTCCACAAAATGATAAGAGCACACATTATTTTAATATTACATTTAATGTATTACATTATTATTATTGTGATTATAGCTTTGCAAACCATGCTTGTTTTCGCCTTCAGTCTTTATAGATAGCAAGCAGTGGTGTAATTCTAGAAAAAAAAAGTGGTTTTCTATTATTCAGTTGTACCATCACTATTCTGATTATTGACTGATTATCTTTCAAAGTGCAGTTTTGGTCTGCTAACCATTTCACGAGTGCCTAACTTAATTATAGTGATTTGTGAAGTCCTTCACAGTGCAGTTTTGGTCAGTTGATGCTTAACTTTGCTACCCGCCAACAGTGAATCTACAGATATAGAGAAGGGTTAGCTGACCAAAACTGTACTGTGAAAGACTTAACAAATCACGAAGAATGGCATGCGATATTATTTGGATAGTGCACTGCAGATTTAGCCAAAATAAACTACTGTGGTCGATAATGACGAGTTTTGGATTCTATTTCTGCAATGTTGCACCTAGAAACGAGTTTAAATTGTTATTTCAAACAGTAAAAATAGTCATCAATAGTAACAAAACTGCTCCTGTTCAATTAAACGCAACTTTTTTTGTTTAGTTTTTTTTAGAAACAATTTTTCAGACTTTTGGAGACCACTGTGTAGAAGTAGTATTTTTCTGTTCTACACAGTCTTACTCCATATTTTCTGATTCTTTCAGAGATGTCAGCGATCAGCTCCAGTCCAGATGATCCAGTGATCCGGATTCTTCTGATGGGCAGAAAGGGTTCTGGGAAAAGCTCGTCTGGAAACACTATACTGGGAGAAAGAAAGTTTAAACTTAAAAAGCAGGAAGCTGAAGTTTGTGATGCAGTAGCAAAGATTGGAGAGAAGCAGGTTGCTGTGATTGATTGTCCAGATCTACTGGATCCAGATCTGAGTAAAGAGCAGCTGGAGATGTTGAAAGAGCAGCTGGTCTCTCAATGTTCAACCGGTCTCAGTGCAGTTCTGCTCACCGTTCCTCTAGAGAAACCACTGGAAAATGAGGAAGAGATCCTGGATTTTATTAAGTGTTTATGTGGTCCTGAAGTTCAGAAATACATCATGATTCTGTTCACACGTGGAGATGAACTGGATGCACTGGATGAACCACAGACCATTGATGAACATCTACAAAACCATGCGGATCTCCAGAGACTGGTGACTGAATGTGGAGTTTGTGAATGTGAATGTTTCAATAACAGGAGTAAATCAGATGATCAGGTACAAGAACTACTGCAGAAGATTGAAGGAATGATGGAGGAAAATGGTGGGAAATTTATCATGGAACGAATGAAGAGGAGTGGCAGCAAGGACACTGTAATAACTTGTAAGTTGTTTTGTTGTTGTAAATTACTGCATTAATACATAATGTGCTCACCTGTTCATTAAATGTAAAGCACTGATATTTTCGTTGTGCTGTAATTAGTTAAGAGCATCTGCAAGTGCCTACATGTAAATATAAAACTGATCTCAAAGAAGAAAAGTAATTTTAATATCACACTGTTGTGATGTAGTTTCAGGAGAAAGTTTAATGGATGAAGATCCAGATGAGATTCAGCTTCCAGGGAGGAAAAACCAAATCAGGCTGGTTCTGCTGGGAAAAACTGGAGCTGGAAAAAGTGCTGCAGGAAACACCATCATCGGTAAAAGAGTGTTTGAATCCACCATCAGCTCAAACTCTCAAACAAAACAGTGTCAGTCAGAAACCAATGAGAGGATGGGCAAAACGATCTCAGTGATCGACACACCTGGACTTTATGATAATGTACTCAGTAAAGAGGAGGTTATTACCGAATTAGTGAAATGCATAACGTACGCCTCTCCAGGACCTCACGTATTTATTATTGTGATTAAAGTGGGTCGATTCACTGAGGAGGAGAAAAACACAATAAAGGAGCTTAAAGAAGTGTTTGGAGAACAGATAGAAAAATATGCCATGGTCCTCTTTACTCACAAAGATCAATTAGATAAGAAAAATAAATCTATTGAAGACTTTCTACAGGAAAGTGACCCAGATCTTAAAAAGCTGGTACAGAGCTGCGGAAACCGATTATGGTGTTTAGACAATGAATCTGCCAGTTTCCCACAGTTCAGAGATCTGCTGAGTAAAATAGAGAAGATGGTGAGTGAAAATGGAGGCCACTTTACTAATGACCTGTTTGAAGGAACAGAGAAATGCATTCGGGAGATTCAGAAACAGAAAATGCGTGAGAAAGTGGAGCAGTTAAAACAGAAACAGAAACAGGGCATTCTAACAGAGTGGCAGACAATATATTGGAGTTTAGCAGAGGAGTCTCGACAGGAAGCGCTGCATGTTATGTTAGGTGATGTGTACATAGCAGCTGTAGCCAAACTCATGGGGAAGGTGGTGGTGACTTCTGAGGAGAAAGAGAGTGCCATAAAGGAGGCTGAGAGCATAGGAATCAGTCGTAGAGAGGCAGTTCGACTTGCAATCAGAGCCACACGGAAGCTAGCAAAACAGAGGTTGTGTGGGATTCAGTGAGAAACTTCAATAATGATCACATACACAAGATTACCGACAAGCTCCTTCAACTAAACTTTTTATTTTTTCTGATTAATGATCATTTTACTTGTTGATATCTTGAAACCAAGATACCACTCACTGTCATTGCTGTTTATTCACATGATGCTTTCACAAATGCCTTTTTTTACTCTGTTATGTCTGTGTTTGATTAAATCTGTATCAAGAGTGAGTGTGAATCTGACATGAATATCATATCTGGAAACACTAGTGAAGAAAAGCAGACGCAGCACAGTAACACTTTACAATAAGGTCTCATGCTGACAAACTGTAATGAATAAGTATTGCTCATTGCACATCTACTTATCAATATTTTTTAGTGCTCGCTATAAATGTATATGTGATTCTGTATCTCTTTTGTATGTGTGTTTGAGTTAATGTGTTTCGTCATGTGCAGAATGTTTTGTCGAGTGTATTATGTGTTTTCATCCATCATCAGTATTTGAAGGGGTTTTACTGTCCTCTAGTGGAAAACACTAGTACAGACACACACTTTATTCTACATGACTCTTAATTCATGATTTGTTGTTACCTTTGTGACAGAAGTATCAGACTGAATAAAGTTGAATGAAGTACAAATGATCCAACTCTCCTATGTGAGTGTTTCATGTGTTTAGCTGCAGCTTATGATAAAGTCTGAACATGTTTGCTGCAGTCTCGTTCTTTCTGTCTGTGTGTAACAGTAAACTGCTAGTTTTCAGATATGAATGAACAGGTAATTTCAACTGAGAGGAGTGTCTTTCTCCATATGGAGTCAAACATGAATGAATGAATAATGCATTTATATAGCAAAATTTACAGCAGTTCTTCTCTCTGTGAGTTTACATTCAACATCTTAATGTGCATGTGTGTAAATTCGGTATAATATGTTACACATTAATGGAAGCAGGATTTAGTGCATATAAAAAGTATCTCTAAAGCCCTATTCGCTCGGGATTAGTATTACCTGCACTGTAAAAATTATTCCATAAAATTTATGGTAAAAAACCGGCAGCTGTGGTTGCCGGAATTTTACCGTAAAAAATATGATAGCAACTAGTTTTAGATTTTATGGTTTTAACTTAAATTTACAGTTAAATACCATAATTTCATTAACTGAAATAATGTTAATATACCAACCTATTGAAGTACTGAAATCTGTTTTGTACCTTTGTAATACACTGATAACCACCAAATGCAGGTGGTGATGAGACACATGATGAACCAAAGCCCATCACAAGCAGCTTTTAAATAATAACATATATTCACCTTTATTTGACCC